CTCCTGGCATTACACCCCTTTTCACCGCGAACAACACCAACCCGCCAACGCCCCAGCCATAATCGCGATCATCTCCTACGAGTGGCTGGTGCCGAACCACTTCTTGTGGGCGGTGGTGGCGCCCGTTGCCCTCCTAGGCTGGCTAACCGGCCGTCTAGCTACGCCAGCAACACCGGAGTTTTGGATGATTGCCTATTTTGGCTTCTACCGAAAGTGCTGGCCAGATTTTTCTGGATGGCTGGCGAATAACGTGCTGCCGCTCTTGATTTGGTAATGTACGGCAATGAGTGTACGAATGTAATGTACGGAAAGGGGGGTTGGGTAAGGGGAATAAAGACCACATCGCTGTGTACGGCGCCCAACGAGAAGGGGTTGGAGGTGATGGCGACATATGACGGTGTGAAGGGGGGTCGGTCCTTGTGAAGGGGGATGGCAGCGGGGGGGATAACCGCGGTAGTGGTGTGGGTTTTAAGGATGTATGTGTGTATGTCTGTATGTATGTATGTGTGTGTGCGGCGGTGTGCAATATGGGCTTTGGCAGAGCTGTTGCTGTTGTGATGGTGGCGGCGGCGCAGTGTGTTTGCACGCAGACACGCGTATATACATATGTATGCACACACACATACATACATACATATGCACATATACACGCACACGTGGCCTGGTCCCTTATCTCTAACGCGGATCTCGCTGTTCTGGTGGCACCTAAGGTGGAGAGCGAAGGGTCTTGGGGCCCCACCGGGTTCTGGTGGTTAGGAGGGGTCGTTGACTGGTCTGGATGGGGTGGCTGGCGCGCCAGGATGCCAAGATGGTGGGAACGCACGCAGCACACAGCACGCAGCACATGTAGCCGTGTCTTTGCTCTTGTGTGTTTGCCGTTCTGCAGCTTCTGAAAGCCGGTGCGGTCCTGATCTCAGTAAAGAGTAAATTCCGAACCGAAAGCACATACATATATTATGTTTATATGCATACATACATACATACATACATACAGTGATGCAGCTGGTATCACGTTTGGTTTGAATCGACCCTGGTTTTTTTTCTACTCGAGCCTCCCATTTGCTTCTGTGGTCAGGACACCTTGCATCAGCTTCCTGAAAACGAGGCATCATCACCACCATCTCAAAACGATCATCACCACAAACCACCGTGTTCCAAGAGAAGCTCTCCAAACAGCGGCAGCAGCAGCAACAGCACCAAAAAGTGGAGATGAGGATGCGGACCAGCTGATGGCCGTGTAAAACGAAAAAAAGAACGACGTAAAAGAAAACGCATCCCTCCACTTTACCCCACTCCCTGACCACCCACACGCCACCCTTGACAGTCGGATAAAGTGAACAGCCAACTACTAGCCAGCCCCGGCCCCGACGTCGGCCGCCTACGCCACCACCACAACCTGAATCGTCTCCAACGTGCCGTCTCGAGCGCCCGTCACCGCACCGCCCCCAGCCAGGGTCGAACTGAGGACCTCCAGGGCCAAATCCGTGATCCGCTCGCCGGGGAACAGTACCGGCACGCCGGGGGGGTAGGGGCACAGCAGCTCCGCGCTGATCCGGCCCACTGCCTCGGCGGCGGTAAGGCTACAGGGAGGGGCGGGGGGGCAGTACCGGCAACCCCGGGGGGAAGAAGATGGGGGTTTAGGTGCCCGGGAGGGCCCCGGGAAAGAGGGGGGGAAGAGTGGTTTTGGAAAGGTTTGAACAGAAAAACACGTCTAGACGCGGCGTGTAGACGGACACAGGAGTGTCCTGCTCCTCTTCCCCTGCCGCACACAACGACGTGTGTTTTTTATGCGTCTGATCTCTTCGCTCCACCCCACCTCAACCCACCCCACGACGTCCATTCAAATGCTGAATCAGTATTAGTAATTACTATAACCGATTAAATCGCCAACCGATTATTAGTTACTATAACCGCCCACCGACGGACCTTTCGCTGGCCGCGAAAAACGCCTCCCGGGGCGTCAACGCAACCTCCACCTCCACCTCCAGCGTCGAGTCCGCAGCGTCATTCTTCTTCTTACTGGTGGTCACTGACGACTCCGCCTCCTCCTCCGCCTCCTCGGCCGCCACCTTCTGTGTCCATTCATCTAGTTCCTTTAGGTGCGCGGGTTTGGTTTTCAAGGTCGGGGTCAGGGAGAGCGCGGCGAGGATAAGTGTGTACGTGTGTGTATGGGGGGCGGGCGCTTCGCTTTAACAGGTCCGGAAGGGATCGACTCGGGAGAGCCCCTTCGGATCCGAGATCTGTCGGGGTCGGCAGAGCGTAAAATAGCTAGGACATCTGTCGTACAAACGTCAGGTAGACATATACACGTCGTACTTGTGTGTATCGTATTCAAGTTAAAACACCCAAAAACCCCCGGGGCCCCCCATGAAGAACAAGTGGTGCGCGACGGCAACACCCACCAGGAGTGCGGCAGCGGCGGCGTCTGCGTGTGCCAGTGTCGTACCAGGTCCAAGTGCGAGTACGACAGTCTGCGGTGGAAGAAGGGTAGGACAGGTTGCGGCAGAGCCGGGCCGGGCGGGCTGAAGGGAGGGCCAGAGAGGGAGGTCTTGCCCAGGGATTTGCGTGACAAACATTACCAGTATCATAAAGTTGACAATTACGCTCGTGCTAACAACCAACCAACCAACGGACTTGTCGACAGACAAGCAAATTGACAAAGCTGGGACAGTCGAGTGCCGCATTGCCGCATTGCGTCCGAACGCATTTGCGGTTTTCGCGATACCATGCCCGTTATTTGTCCTGCAACATACGCTGATTAACAATTTTAGGTAACAAAGCAGAAACAAAACACCAAGGCTAAACAAAACTGGCGGCAGTACCTAAATACTGAAAGTGAATTAAGTATAAGCGAAAAGCTAGGAAAAGACTTGTCGTACTACACCATACTACACCTTGGCGGTGGCGAGCTCCGGAACCACGCCATGTTGCGTCTCCAGCCACTCCGCCGCTCCGAAACCGCCTCCCTGTAGCTCCAACCCCGTCACTAACAGCGTCAGGCGCAGCGGGTCAAAGTAGCGTACGGACGCCCGCGACCCTGCCGTACGCTCGTCCAGCAGTCGTATGCGCTTGCAACGTGACACGGCGGCGCGGATGACCTGCTCCAGGCGGACGAACATACGGACGAACACAAACAAATAAAACGATAAAAACGGGATGACAAAAACAGGTGCGCCTACGTGTGTATGTACGTATGTATGTATGTATATATGTGTTCGTTACATTGGGAGGAGGGTCCGGGGTCCTTGACGACAAAAATGCACGAAATGGCAACGGTCAACGGCCAACGGTTAAGTTCTCGCAACCGTCGACAACCAGCCCGAGCTGGGGGATCTAAGGATAACCCACCACCCATCCGCACCCGAACACACCCACACCAAGAATCCTCTCCATCCGCCGGCCCCCCCTCAACCCCCCCAGTCTCCCCCCTTAATCTCTGGCCTTTCCCCAACCCCCCACATAACCACAACCTGCCACATTCCTCACTGCCATCACCATCACTATTACCCCCACCGCCCGCAGCCAGGCCACACCTGCGCCGCCGCGCACGGCTCGTCGAAGGCTACCCCCCGCCCAGCCGCTGCCTGTGCCCGGGCCGCGTCCAAGGACGCCATGAGCAGGTAGGAGGGCGACGAGGACTGCAGGGTCTGCAGCGCCCGGCTGACGCGGGTGGGGCACACACGGGGCCCGGCGCCGTGTAACATGGCCGCCTGGAGGGGGAAAAGGTTGGGGGGAAGGTGTGTGTGTGTGTGGGGGGGGGGGGAAATGCGGAGGGGTGACGCCCAACGGGTGCGGGGGAAGTTAAGTTTAAACCCGGCCGACTGGTAAGTTAAAGGGGGAAGGAGGGGAAGGAGGGATGTGAGGTGGTTGTGTTCGTGTGAGGAGGGTTCTTAGGAGGACGAGTGTCGGGAGAGCGAGTCCCTGTTTGGCTGTTGGACGTAAACGCCCTCTAGGTATCATTCCAATCGCGTCGGGGGCCGTGTTTCCCAGGGTGTAGGTCTTAGCGGCACCTGGACGGTTGCGGAGCGGATATGGGCGGGAGATCAACGGAATGAGAAAAAAAGGAAGGCGTGTTTATGGTAGGCCAAGAAATTCCTCCAGGATAAAGAAGACCCCGGCAAGGCCAGCAAAATGGCGTCCCAACGCCCCGGAGCCCACCTGCGTCATGGCTCCAAGCACCTTGTGGGTGGACTGGATGACGAGATCCGCTCCACAGCTTAGAGCGGAGGGGGGAGGAGGCGGAGGAGGAGGAGGGGGCGGGGGAGACAGAAGCGGGTGTTGGGGCTGGAGGGGTGGTGGGGGCGGCGGTGGCAGGAAGGCAAAATGTCCGCCGTGCGCCTCGTCCACAATTAACGGCACGCCGTACTCATGGCATACGGCTGCAATGGCTGTAGTGAGTAATGAGCGAGGGCGAGAGGAGGGTTTTAGGGTTTAGAAGCTGTTGAAAGATGCACACACGTACTTGCACGAGTACCTCTGGTGCTGCTTCCTTGACGAGAGTGGAGCCAATAATCAATGGACAACGCAGCAGACACAGACACACACAGACATACAGACACACTCTGTCAGTGTAGACCGCAGCCCTTTGTGGCCGTAACTGGCGGTTTCTCCCCCATCCCCCTCCTCGGCCTCAGAGCTCATCCGGGTGGTGGATATAAAGACAAGACATTTCCCCCCAGGGGTTGCCTTTCTCCTCCACAAACAGATAATACTTGACAGAAAATAAAACATCACGAAATCATTTGCCTTCGGCGAAGAATGTGGTTCTTTTATGTCTGGGTCTCAGGACTTTCCTGCAGTTACCCTTCCTCTCACTCACTCGCTCACTCACTCACACACTCACTCACTCACTCACTCACTCGCTCACTCACTCACTCACCCTCCACGTCAGCCACTGACCCAAAGTAAGTAGGTGACACGATCAGGACACCCGCGACCAGCCGACCGCGCCCACGTCGTCGTTGTCGTCGTCGTCCCTGCGCCGCCATGGCAGCTGCTGCCTCTTCGTCGTCGAGATCGTCGTCGCCATTATCGCCGGCGGTGGCGACGCGCAACGCCTCTCGAACCGACCCATGGGTCACACAGTGCGCCACTCCAAACACTGGATCCACTTCGGGCTGCAACCAGTACGGCTCACAACCTGCAAAGAGGGGGATGGATGGATAGAGAGATAGAGAGATATAGATAGATAGATAGAGAGGAAGGTAGAAAGAAGGAAAGAGAAGTCAGCAGAAGACGTATGATATACATGTCCATGTGGGCACCGTACAAAACGCATTCATGTGGGTGCCTGGATAGAGAGATAGAGAGATATAGATAGATAGAGAGAGAGGAAGGTAGAAAGAAGGAAAGAGAAGTCAGCAGAAGACGTATGATATACATGTCCATGTGGGCACCGTACAAAACGCATTCATGTGGGTGCCGTACACAGCGCCACACGACGCGTGTGGGCATTGCGCGGTGCGGGCATTGCGGTGTTTGGCAGCGCTGTCGCGGTGACACGCTTTAGGAGTGTACGCAGGGAAGCCGATCTGCCGTAGAACACACACCCGCTTTTCTCTGTCTTACTTATTTTACCGTAGATCGATGGGAAGCAGGTGGATGTCATGCCTGTCTTAGAGCCTGTTGCGGTTAGCATGGAAACCCGGGCACGGCCCCCACTTGCCCACTTTCCCACCTTTTCATTTCGTGTGTGTGTGTGTGTTACATGGTTGGGGGTGCGTGACCCCATACCTGTAAAGCTACCCATTTATCCCCGTAATGTTCACCCAGCCCCCATCAGTACAATACACATAAGGGCCGCACGTGCAATGCAATCCAGCAGCGCATAAGCACCCTCTCCAACCTTTTACACCAGCCTACGATTCCTCACGCACCCGCCAACACCATAGCCGAAAAAGCGGATAGATGGCAATTCCGAGCCACTACCAGCGTCACCCTTCTGGCGCTACTGCTGCTGCTACTGCTGCTGCGATTACTGCTACGATTACTGCTACTGCCATTACTCCCAATGCCGTTGCTACTGCTGCTGCGAGCTTGGCTAACACCGCAAGCGCCGATGGGTTCTTCAGCCGCCGCCGCCGCCGCCGCCGCCGTGACTGCCATGACGGCTGCATGGATGCCTACCGTACAACCGTTGACTAGGAACCACGTGCGGTCCGCTCCGAAGGCCTCAGCCGCCAGCTGCTGCGCCTCCATGATGACACCGCTAGGTGAGGACAAATAATCAAGGCCTGCAGTACGATTGGTACGCCAGCATTTAAGCCGTACGTCAATGATCTTGAAGGAGTACGACAGCAATACAATGGGGACGAGTCGGGCTGGAGTTTAAGATAGGGAAAAGCAGCGCAAACATGCCAAATACGCGCATCCAAAGTTTGTTTGAGGCGCGGCAACCTTTCTAGGGCTTGAGGGAGAGCTGTGCCACAGGAGGCTAGTTTTTTTTGTAAGTGTGTGTGATGTGAATTGTCACCCTCCACGTCGCAAACACAAGTTGGAGCGAAATCACGTCTTAACGAAGCGGTTTGCTTGTATGTTTGTATGTTTGTTTGTTTGTTACACGGCTGTTTTACATGTCTTTGCGTGCCAAGTCCCCAAAGCATGTGGGTAGGTGTTAGCTGCCTGGTACCATCCATCACCCAAAGGCAACTCGAAGTGCTTCGATGAAAAGCGGTTACTTATCAACCCACCGGAGATCTCCGTCAGGTCGTACTGCAGTACGGAGCCGTGAGCGGGACGTACAAGCCGCGCAAGGCCCTCGGGCGCCCCAGCCCCGCGCTATCCAGCCGAAGAAATAATCGCAACGACACACACACATACATACATACACACACACACACCAATACACGGTCGACACGGGAGCCGATGGGGTCCATTATTTCAAATTATTTGAGGGGGGAAAGGGAAGACGAAAAGCGCGGAATCGGGGGTGAGGCCTGGTGAGATGCCGGTATGCATCTGGACGGAATGTGGATCCTGAGTTTTCCTGTCGTAGATAGATAGGAGGTTACGGAGCAAGCCTGCGTGCCATCACCCCCCACTTCCCAGCTTGCGTGCCATCACCCCCCACTGCACGCTCTCCTTCCCCTGCCAGCCACATCGCTGCCGGGCAGCGCCCGCACCTTGTGGCCTGGTACATGGAATGGCGCTTCATGTACGGCATCGCCACGTTGCTGTACAGCATCAACGAGCGGCATCCGGAGATGCCGGGCATTAACATTTGTAGGCGATCGGCTCCCTCCGGACGGATAGCGATCCAGGCTGTGGCTGTTGCCATTTTCCTCGGCATGGGCTCCAGCGACTGTGGCTGCGAGTCCACTTCGAAGCCTTAAGCCTTTGCAATACTTGGTAAGAGCTTTAGGAAGATAACTGAGGTGATTTTTGGGCCGTGCTTTGAGAACCGAATGGTGAAAATTGCAAGCGAGGTCATCGGCGCAGGGCGGCCACCGAGTATGTTTCATTCCTAGATAACTTCAATACAAATGTAATAAACGCCAACAATTATGCGTAACGTCCTTGCAGCTAATTGGCAAGGGTGATGCAGGCGGAACGAGCTGCTGTAGCATCATTTCTTTGATAGGCGCTGCGGAAGAAGTCCACAAATAATTTTGATTACAAGCATCAAATTCCGTCTCCCTTTGCACTTGTGAATATCCCACCCTGCATTCTCACAATCTCGTCAGAAGGGATGAAAGGGTAAGCCAGATAAATCTACAAGAAAGCATACATATCATTTATATAACATTACATACAGTAATAAGTAGTGCAGTAACAGGGGAGGTATCCCCTGTGTCGGAATTTTGTGCTTTCGGGGGATTCCATTCAGGGACTATACGTGCTTGGTGTTAAACGGGGTAAGGACGCATACGTGGTTGGGATGGGGCCACATACGGCCCCAACCGGATATAATTGAAGAGGCGGGAACGGGGAATTGAGGAGGGGCCCCGGGGCCTAGGGAGGAAGGATAATATAATGCGGATCCATGATGTACGACATGGATCTTACCCTGATTTGACCATCAGCGTTGACGTGCAGGTGTGTGTGTGTGTGTATGTGTGTGTGTGTGTGCGTGCGTGCGTGCGTGCGTGCGTGGGTGTGTGCGTGCGTGTGTGTGTGTGTGTGTGTGTGTGTGTGTGTGTGTGTGTGTGTGTGTGTGTGTGTGTGTGTGTTTGGCCTCTTTGCAAGTGGCGTGTCTCGCCTGAGCTCTCCTGGGCGAATTGGATTTCCTCATGACATGCAGAAGGCCCTTCTGGCGGCATCGTCCGCAAGGAGGCGATGACGCGGAGGCTAGAGTGCGGCGGGGGAGGGGAGGCAAGGACGGACGATACACGGTGCGTGTAAACGCACCTGGCGGTTGTTGAAAAGGTCTCTGCAGGTGCTGTGCATCGGGATTTACTTGATTATATTGTAATTGTAGGGCCATATTTGTATTGCATTCCCTTGTTACAACTACCATGATTACGGTGAGACTGTCATGTAGAGGATAGAAAATAAAACTGCAGTGTTGCACCGTACATCGTACATCGTACGTCGTGCTGCGTGCGTTACATCTCCCTCGGTCATAGCTCGGCCGATTGCGGCGTGAGGCTGGTTGCCCTGCAGAGGAAATCTTGGGGCTGAGAGAAAGGGAAATCCTGAGAGAAGAGGAGTGGGTGATTGGGTTAGAGGGTGGGTGGCGAGGTTGGAACGTGCATGGGGGATTTAGAGTCAAGTACCCAGTAGACCATGTGTGACTAAATAGCATTGAGCAATTATAATCGGCTGGCGGCTGATAATAACAGCAGCTGCAGAAAGCTTAACAGCAGCAGATATTTGTTAGGAATTCGGGAAGATGATTAGCAGTCTGGGAAACGGAAAAAGCTGACTAGCAAAACCGACTCGAGACTGTCGGCCGTCAGCGGCGCAGTCGGGCCTTCATACTAACCAGTGCATTTAAGATATGAGGGCTGTTGTTACTTAGTTCAAAAGAGATACTTATTACTACAAAGCTCATCATCGAAGGGTCCCCGGTAGAATTTGTCAAATGCTGGGGCATCGTTATTTAGGTTGAGTACGATCTAACGCTCGTGGCCGTAACGTTACCAGCCGAAAATAAGCCCACAGGACTTTACAGAGCAAGCAGCTGATGGGCTGACGATGGGCTTCACACCACAGTTTTGCCAGGCAGGACGAAGCTGCTAGCAGTGGCGTTTGCTGCGATAGGCGGGCTAGGCTAGCCAGCCAGATTCCGACTGCGGACGTGTGCACATTGCAGCTATGAAAAAGAGCGCCCCCGACATGCACCGATGGCGCCACCGATTAGCCAAGGGCGGTGGGCCGCGGGTAAGGATCTGGATGGCTGGCCACGGGCTGAGAGCTGCGGGCAACGTTTGGCTAGGAGGTTGCGATAGTTATGTGTTTCTTTGCTCTTGTTGTGCTGTTCTGGTTCTAGACATGGCCAGGGCCTGGAGGGATGGAGGCCCGCCACTGTGGCAGCGACTGTGCCTGTGCCTGTGCCTGTGCCTGTGCCTGTGCCTGTGCCTGTGCCTGTGCCTGTGCCTGTGCCTGTGCCTGTGCCTGTGCCTGTGCCTGTGCCTGTGCCTGTGCCTGTGCCTGTGCCTGTGCCTGTGCCTGTGCCTGTGCCTGTGCCTGTGCCTGTGCCTGCAGCTGCATTGGTGGTGGCGGCAGTCCTGAACTACTACTGCCTGGATGTCTTTTGATGCTGTCGGCAAAAGCCAAGGTCTTCTGGAGTTCTTCATGTTGCGGTGGCAGCCGTGATAGCTCGAGCTGTAGCGGCCAGCAGACCTGCTTCAACGCCGACGTCAGTGACCGCAGCTGCGGCGGCGGCGGCCGTGGCGGCTCCAACTTGAGCTTCAGCGGCAGTTATGGGGGCGGCTGTAGCCGTAGCGGCAGCGGTGGCGGCAACTGTGGCGGCGGCAAGTGCGGCGGCGGCAACTGCAGCGGCGGCAATTGTATAGCCGCAGCAACGGCGGCGGCAACTGGAGCCGCAGCCACAGTGCAGTGCTGGTGGCAGCACGGCTTCAACACTGCATGCTGATCTAGGGGCTGCCTGCTGCATATGTAAACAGGCAGGCGGGTAGGCGTTGACGTAATGGCATCACGTAACCCCGATCACTACTGGGCAGGCATGTACATACGGTTTCAAGGGTGGTGTGTTGGGGGGGGTTGTTACAGTGGGCTCCAGACTCACAAAGAGTAGAGCCAGCGGACCAGCGGGCCGTGCACTGCACTAGAGACTAACATACAAACTAGACTACCACACAGATGAGACAACACAAGGTTTCAAGGGTGGTGTGGCGTTGGTGTGGCGTTTCCGGGAGCAACGGGTGTTGTGTGTGCGCCGCGGTGAGCCAGATAAATACACAATATTGAAACATCACAGCAAATATGAGAGATAGTTTGGGTTAAGCATTTACGGCGGAATCATGGCGGATTGGAATGGACCTGCGCGACGAGGTTTGTTGGCGGCAAACCGCAGAAGGCAGGACCACGCTGCCACGTCAGTCCATATCCGTCTGAATTTAATGACTGCTACTTATTTACCAACGTGAGAAAACTTGCAAAGGATATAAATATGCATGACATGATCTGAGTAAAGAATAAAGCCGACATATGATCATCCGTGAAGAATAAGTGCGACAGCATCGCACTTGAATGCCGATTACAATGCCATGAGAAACAACCGATGGACCTTTTTACATATGAGTTCAGAAGCTGTACGGATTTTTGAGTGCTACGGGGTATAAGGGATGTATCGGTACTACACCTTTAGCGCACGTGCCAAGCAAAATGTAATTAATTTTTCACAAGATAACATGGCAGTTTGAGATTGTTACAGTGGAACCTGATCGGGTGGAGTGCAGCGCTCCAAGGAACGCCGCCCGCACAATTTGGCAGACATCTAACACAGCACTTCCTAAATCCACTGCTACTATGATTGAATATGTTTGCAGGTTGTTTAAAGATTTGTGTATTTGTACAGGAGCTAAATATTGTAATAACTTGTGAGTCGAGGTATCCTGACAGGAGTCTGACACGCAGCCCGGAGCGGCGCTATGCCATATACAGCTTTTATGCTTCGTCTTTCGTTTCAATGGCAGCGTAAAAGCCAAACAGATAAGATGTGTCAGACAAAAATGTCCGCTTTACTCGCTTGCAATTCCGTTTTGATTCACGTAACTGGTCGATCAAACTGTATTACTGAACCACGCACGACAGACCATCCTTGACAACTTCTCCACATAACCGCTCGGTCAGGTTCTACCATCCAACATGTTGCGTTAAAATTATGAACTATTCTCGTCAGCAGAATCAGGTAGGATATCAGTTCGCTGAGGACGCAAATGAGCAGCAACAGAACTATCGCAGATCGAGAGTTGGTCTGCAACCTGAGTCAAGACTATACTTTGTATGAATCCCACCGTATTGTCTAAATTCATCTAGTGCTTATGCCGGCTCAGCTGAAGGCCAAAGTTTACACCGATGATCCATTCATCAGCAGGCACAAGCTAAGCCAGATAGACGCAGTACCACCAGGTAGTAGCCATCCGCTGTAGCGGAGCTAGTCGTCAGCTACAAACTTTCTCCGCAGCTTCAGCCTACGCATGGAATCCTGCCTGACGGACATGCTTACTACTGCTCCTTCACAGTACAGTACAGATTGTCCTCCCCCGCTCCATGTACATAACCTCCGCGTTTTGATCCTTGGGACTATTGCCAAGAGCTTTGGAAGGATAATTGGCTGCTAGAACTTAAATCTGACAATAAAAAACAATTGTTGTGACCTATCTGCAGCGCAGCAGTTTTTCTTGGGGACGATGCGTAACTCTGTTGTTCTTTTAATGACTTGAGCACCATCATAGCGTTGTGATGACCTTTTACTCGTAAATTTTAATACCGTGCTTATCGAAGAGGCGACATCGTCCCTGCGCGAGAGCGCTGTTGCTGCCGCTCTACTGCTACGCCGCCTACAGAAACATGGTCCTCGCTCGTCATGAGCGGAAGCATCAGCATCAGCGGCTGCGGTGGGCAGCAGATGCGCTTCCTGCATCGTTCCTTTCGGCCGCCGGGGCCTTCTTCCTTGCTTCCCCCTTGCTGCTCCGGTTTCTCCTACTTCTACGGCTCGTTCTAATCGCCAAAGCTCAATTTGTTGAGCCCGGGATTATAAAAGGTGCGCTTGATAAACGGCATGCTGTTGCGATAAGGATGCGAGCATCCCACACCTCCACCAGCGGCTTCTAACTTTGGTACGGCAGCACTCCAGCTCTGTGACAGGTATAACTTCTTAGTCCTGATACGGTATCACATCCTTGCACGGGACCTACTATGAGCTCGGCATCCTTTGTTTGGACGAGGCAGAAAACACCGACCGCTATCCTCGTTTTTCGGTTTGCTCCAGTTCTCATTCATTGAATTGGCTTTTTCGTTGGGCATAACTTAGTCCACTTTTGTTTTTTCGTGCACTTTTACTTTATGTTTTTCCTGCTGCTGAATATTTTACGGGGTCGAGCGATGGTGACGTCAACCCACGAGAGTGGTGCTGGGTTCGATCCGGGTACAGGACTGTACACCTGCCGGAACGCACCCCTATCCACACTCTCCACACTACACCTCTACTTTCAAATTATTGGAGGTCTATGGCCTTGCCTTGGCCCCGGGTTCGCATGCAACATTTCGGGTCATGGCACATCCCTTTGGTGACGGTTTGAACAAACCGTAAAAACCTGGCTGTCTAATTGACTTGCGTTGTCTCATCTGGGTGGTAGCCTAGTTTTTGTATGTTAGTCTCTAGTGCAGTGCACGGCCCGCTGGTCCGCTGGCTCTACTCTTCGTGAGTCTGGAGCCCAGTGTAACAAACACACACACACACACACACACACACAAAGCATTCCCGGAAGAAGCTTCCTTCCTGCGATGTATCGATGAATCGTCGGCACGCAACGAGATACACGCCTGGAAATAGCTCACCGACTCATTATCACTCATGTTATCGGCATGCGCCTGAAAAGATTGCGGCTTCGTTTCTTTACGCAGCTGCTGCAGTTGTTGCCCTCCGCTGCCCCCACCCACCCACCCACCCACCCACCCACCCACCCACCCACCCACGCAACACATCTCGTCCCAACCCATCCTGTCGTGCCCCTACTGCTCCAAGTCCCCATCCCCACGCAACAGCACCCTCCCCTTACCTCGGTTGCCGGCCGCATCGTCCGTCTCTCCATCCACATCACGCACCTCCACCACCACCTGCACCCATCTCCTCCAACCATTGCCGTCCCCACCTCCACCTCCTACTCCACCTCCACCTCCACCTCCAACTCCAACTCCATCTCTCCAAACCTTGCGCGCAGGCACCATCACAACCCTAGAGTTCACTCGCTCACATCCTGGGGGGGATACAGGGCCGCGGATCTACTACCTAAACCAACTACCTGGAGTAAGCAACAACAGCAACAGCAACAACAGCAACAACAGCAACAGCAGCAATGGTGGTAGCGGCGGCAAAGGGGCTAGTGCGGGAAAAATATTCCGGCTCGTCTTCTGCAACGCCGTGGCAATGGAGGCCATCCCTATGGGTATTCCGGTAACCGTTGCATACGACATGATCGTGAACGGCGTCATGCATTCCTGTTCCAGCCCAATCTTTCTGTCCGAGACCCCGGAGCAGCATGAGGAAGAGGAGGACGAGGGACGGGAGGAGGAGGGGGCAGAGGGAGGAGTGGGAAAGCAGCCAGGGTGGCGGCGAGCTGCACAACGGCGGCTGCAATCGGTTGGGCTCGGTGACGCCATCACCACTCCCACTGCCCCCCGTATCTTGGTATACTTGCCCACGTTCTGCGGCTTCGCAGGACCAGCTGCCACCACACCGGAGGTAAGTGCGAGGGTGGGTGATATGGCGGGAGAGGGATGTGCACCCAAGCCCTCTCCAACCTCTTGCTTATGGTTATTATGCTTTACGGGTTCTGGCAGGGGCAACGGTTTTCCGTTGTCGGTTGCACTGTTGCCCGTCGAGCGTCACTGCGAATGTCGCTCATGATCATCCTGGAAAACTTTATTATATAAATATCCCACAATACGTCATTCCAAATTCCAAATCGCATTCATTAACCGCCTCCCCCCTGGAGGGGTCACAGATTCTGCATGTGCCAGCTAGCGCCAACCACAGTCACAGCCACCAAAAAAACCCTAACCGGGCCCTGCCTAGTCAACCAGTGCCAGTGTTTGAATAGGTGGTTCTGCGGTGTATAGCTACAAGGGGACATCGGTCTGGACCTATGCTACGCGGTAGTGAGTATGTGACCCACGGAAATCTGACCCAACCCTACCCAACCCAACCCCACAGGCTGTCACCGACTTGCTCGTGTTTGGCAAAAACATGTGGTCCAACAGCTCTCTGGCCGGGTACTTGAGCACTTGCAGCTACGGCCAAGTGAAGCTGCTTCCCGAGAACGTCAAGGTCCTGGACGGGGTGCAGGTGCCCTGCAGCGGCAACCTGCAGCGTGGTCACCCCTTCAGCACCGGCAGCTCCTTCACCACCCGCACATGCAACGAGGCGGACAATATGGCCAAATGGCATTACTGGCTGGATGAATGGGCGGCTGCGACCCACGGGGTGAGGGCGGCGGATTACCACCACAGGGTCATGGTCCTGCCAAAGAGCTTTGTGGACCTCGTCACGGGTGAGGGGGCTCACAGGGGGGGGGCATGGCGGCGTGTGTGTGTGTGTGTGCGTGTGTGTGGGGGGAAATGCGGGTATGGGTAAGAGGGCCTTAGGGCATCAGGAATGCAGGGTGGACAGGGCAATCCCTAAGCCCTCGGGCCCTTACCGAGGAAAAGTGCGTAAGACAAGAGGAGGTATGTGTGCTTGTGAACTTGCTGAGAGAAAGAGCGCCAACGTCCGTTGTTTATGAGGGCTTACTTTCGGCCATCCAGGCTGCGGCGGCTTCTCCGGTGCGGCTACCCCTGGCCGATGGAGCTTCGAACGTACGACAGTCAACGATTGGGGCACCAGTTTGGTCTGGTGGGGCGGCGACAGTTACGGAGATTTGGAGATGTTGCTTCACGAGATCGGCCACACGTACGGCATGGGTCATGCAACAATCCCCAACGGATGTGATCTGTCTGACCAGTGCGACAACACATGCACCATGGGTGCAGTTGGAGGCCAGGGCATTCGCTGCTTAAGCGCGCCACACAACTGGCAGGTGGGTTCTTCATGCTCTCACTGGGTTTTACCGGGTTTTGCCGTATGGTTTAAGCCGGGCTTCCGCTTGAGACGTACGATCTTAGAAGCTCCTTCTTACATTCGCATTCATGGTGTTGTTGGGTTACTTCGAGTGGCATTTCGCTCGCTTCCGGAAAATCTGCCGGCTTGCGCACTTTTATGGGTTTGACTGATAAGGAAAAAAGAGTATGAGCTGTCAAGTCAGTGGTAGGTTAGGGTGTCGGCTTCCTCGAAGCCGGAAAAGGAATGCCACACGCATATACCACGCCTGAGTTAACAAGGTAACAAGAGAAAGGTCTAAATCATCGTCCAAGAGAGGATTATGCACAGTTTGTGATGATACCCGTGAAATGTGTCACTTAGGCGCGCATCGCTCCGACCCTCGATCAGAACGCTCGTAACAGGACCTTTGCCCGCCTGCAGCAGCTTTGCGAAGCTCCAAGCACCGTTCTCAATGCATATCACAACATACAGGTTGAGATGATTATGGACACGTCATGCGGTGCGGTGATGTGATGTGACCGCGGCCTTGGATTGTTACACAATGTTACAATGGTTGGAACGGAAGGTGTTTACGCTTATAAAAATTTCGTCCCCTAAACAAAGAAGATGAAGGTGTTAAGCTGCATTGATGAGGCGCTGCGCTTGAGCCAAAAATTATGATTGTCGTTTCGGACGTACGTACGTACGGCTGTACCTGTAGCCATGCTTCCGTCCCCATCTCAACGTATCCTCCCCCAGATCGGCTGGGGAGGGCCATTTCTACAACTCAACGACGCGAGCTTGCCGTACGGCAAAACGACTGCCGTACGCATTCCTCAACAGCTTACTGCCACGAACTCCTCTGTGATGATCACCGGAGCAGGCTTGTCGCCCACCCAGCGTCTGTTCATTGCAACGCGCATCAACACTTACCCGTACGACCTGCCCTGGTCGTACAAGAGGAACGGCATGCCGTACATCGTACTGCACAAGTACAACGGTACGATCTGGCACCCTGGCATTCAGACGGTGTTGGTTGGCCAGGTCGAAGTTTCTGGGATATGGCGTGATGACGTCAGCGGCCTCGCTGTGCGGTTCGACAGTTGGAACAGCACCACTGGCGCCGCTGTGCGGATCTGCCGTCGCCGTTACGCAACCGAACTGAACTGCCTCGACGGAATCGACGACGACTGCGATTTCCTGACCGATTTCGACGACCCAGACTGCTTCGCCAGCATCTACAAGCCCCGGCCGCCGTTGCCACCACCAGCGCCGCCGCCGCTACCACCACTGCGCCCGATGCCGCCGCCACTCCCATCCCCACCTCCCAGGCCGCCTCCGAAGCCCCCGGGTCCTCCAAAGCCGCCCGCCAAGCCGCCCGTCCCCCGGCCGTCCCCGCCGCCGCCACGACAGCCGCCATCCGCTCCGCCGCCCACACTGCCCCTGCTGCCCCCACCCAGTCCCCGCCCGCCGCGCCCACCGCCTTCCCCGTCACCATCACCGCCTGTGCCACCTTTGCCACCACCGAGCCCATCACCGCCCCGACCTTCATCACCAAACCCCAGGCCGCCACTAAAGCCACCCGGCCTCCCAAGGTCACCACCCGTCAAACCGCCCATACAGCGCACCCCGCCGACATTGTCACCCAAATAGCCAGCCCAGCCCAACCGGCATATCTGCCGCCGCTGTAGCCAGCCAAACCGCTACCGGCACCCTACCGCCGCTTTCAACACTTGTGCAGCCGCACGTGCCCAACGCAAGCCTGCCTCTTCCCCCGCCGCCGCCGCCGCCGTGGTTCCTAGCCCGCCCTTGCCGCCGTCGCTGCCGCTGCCTTACCTGCCATAGCTGCGTCGTCTACTGTCGCCGCAGCCATCGCCTCCCAGGCTTTCCTCCGTGCACAAGCCAACCATCTGCCTCCTACCTTCGTGTCCTGTAAGTACGTATGTATCTATGTATGTACGTGTAAGTGTACCTCATCAGCTAGCCGGTGGGCTATTGCCGCTGCTGCATACCGCCGCCGTCAACGCAACATCCAAATCAAGGTAATGGTCGTAATGGAGTTTGGGCAATCGCCGCCGGTTAGGGTGATATATACATGGCGCGGCTGGCGACTAGGGATGAGTTCAAACAATGATAAGGGGGTTTTGCCGCAAGCCAAGACGATGACGGCTATTAGGTTGGAAATTTAGGGTATGGGTCAGGAAAGAGCGAGAGCAGAGTCGGTGCTGGGTCGGGACTTGGGTGCTAGGTAGGAGGTTGGGAGGTTAGGTAGGCTCAGATGTACGATGTACGGCGCCAAGCAGATGAAATTATTAGCTAGGGTAGAGCAGGGGGTTTGGCTGTCAAAGGGGGTTCGTGCAGGTTTGCTGATGAAGCTGCCAGCAGGATACACACACATAGGCAGGGTAGTGCGGACTTCTAGCAGTAAACTGGGACGTGTGTGCGTGTATGTATGCATGTACGTGATACGTGCCTATACATATGTACGTGCCTATACGCATACGTGCAAATGTGCGTGCAAATGTAGTATAGTGTTGCGAGGGTGAGAGCAGGGTGTCTATACGCAACTGGCTAGTCCTCAGCGTAAATATATGTATGTACACCTACGTACGAATCGATCATTCGCCCGTCTGGGTGCGTCATTCGGCCTAGACGCACCTAGGCCACCTCACACTTGTCTACCTACAGATAGATTGGGTATGTTGCGTGTGTGTATGGGGAGGGCGGATTGTTACATTTCCTATATTATTATATCTTTACATTCTTCCGATGATTTGTCGTTGTCAGGGGAGTAGTTGCATACGCCATGACAACACCCCATCATATTCATGGAATCCAGGATTTTGCATGTGCGTCCAGATCCGTCATGCTCGTCGCACGCATGGTGCCAAGTACGGTTACCCCAACATACGGCATCAATAGCGTAGCAAAGATTTGTGAAATGAGAATAGATGGAGTCTCCATGCGCGGGTACGTTTGCTTATTCTGGAGTTTTTTATGCGATGGAATTCATATATCTAGTACATGTTTAGATAATATATAGCCTCTAAATATTTATTTTGAAGTTTCTGCATGAGCGAGTCTGCCTGTTTCGGACGGTTTGATACGATTTGCTGAACTAAGCAGCAACTTTCGAGCCTATTCAGCAAGCATCTTTCCGAATGCGTCAGGCAAGCGGTCTTTCGCCCGCTGCCGTCAGCAGGCAGAAAGCAAATAAAAGACTGTTGTTTGCCGCCGTCCAGGAGTGCTTCGATTTTGGAGAATGCACAAAATGAGGAGCTGAATGGAAAGCCGCGGTGCTGTGCTGTGCTGTGCTTTGCTGGTGTGCATGGAATTGCAAATTTATATCGTGCATATCGAGCTATTTATCTAGAATTTATTGCCGGGGCGGCAGCATGCAGCCGGTTGGATGGTTACGGAACGCGAGACGATTGATGAATCGCGTTGGTGCGCGGGGATGTTGGTACGGAGCTTACGCAGCTAAGCGCATGGACGGGGCATAGCAGGAAGGTACTTTGTCAGATGGCCCCCGAAACGACTGCTGCTGGCATTTACCTTTGCTGCCTTGCAAGTAGTATTACTGCTAGTAGTAGCAGCAGCAGTAGTACTAGTAGCAGTAGTAGTAGCAGTAGTAGTAATAGTCGTCGTCGTCGTCGTCGTCGTCGTCGTCGTAGTAGTAGTAGTAGTAGTAGTAGTAGTAGTAGTAGTAGTAGTAGTAGTAGTAGTAGTACTAGTAGTAGTAGTACTAGTAGTAGTACACCGGACACCGGACGGCCGCCGGAAAATCGAATCTCGCTCGGGAAGGAGGCAGGCAGGGTGGAATATATATATGGATTAAGGATTGCTGATGAGAGCGACGGAGCATATGGAGAGTGCATATGGAGGTGAAACGATTTTGTGTTCTCACGCACTTTATTTGTTTTCTAAGGTGAGGAAGGAGAGCGACGAAAGTCAGCTGATGATAACAAGGTAAGACATTGGAAAGACGGTCCAGCCCCTGGGTTGAGACTTGGGGGTGTACATGTGCGCTCGTGGTTGACATGTCAAACGCACGTAGTGGCCGTGGAAGGAAAACGAGAGTGCGCGCCTGTGTGTGACTATATGTATATGTAAAACTATTTAGGCGTGTACGCACATGTATGTATGTGCGTGGATGCACAAACCCACACGCGGACGTTTGTTGAGTATATATACGACCTTTGTAATCGATGACGAGTTTTTCTGACGATGCTTTCGCGAAAGGTGACCTTTCCTCTGATGAACTACTTTACCGGCAGCTTACCGGGACTGCTAGGATTACTGGTAATAACACACAATAATAACACGGGAAAAGAGCAACATCTAGGGCTCTCAGGCCTGTGTGCACTTGGTCCTGCCTCGTGGTCCTGCCTCGCGCTCCTGCACGTGGTCCTGTTGTTTGTTAGCTTTCCTTGGTAAAATTAACAGACGTAACTTTTGCGTGTATTAGATAGGACCGTCTTTTTCTAGGATGGCTGCAATGTACAGACGACCAAAATTTTGCAGCAGACGCTGTCCGACACTTCTTTGTCAGCGCTACCACCATCATCATCTTAGACCATCACATAACAACATCACAAGGTCCAATGCCATCACGATTATAGCAAGAGCGCCATAATCCAGATTCACGTGTCATAAAAGATAGGCAAGTGGTTAACCAATAGGTTAACCAAAAAAGAGCGAAGGTAATGCCAAGTGGCGAAGTGCCAGAGCCTTAGGAAATTTTTTGGGCGGGGCCCCAGCGCGAAGCGCCCAGGGGGGCCCCGACCTGTAGGATTGCCCATGTCCGTGTGTGTGTGTGTGTGTGTGTGTGTGTGTGTGTGTGTGTGTGTGTGTGTGTGTGTGTGTGTAACGGACCAAACATAATATCTCGCCTGGCTGAAACGCGTTATAGGTACTATACAGCATTCTCTATTGCAAGGTATCTCGCATGTAGCCAACAAAAATCGTATGAGCGCAAACAAGTTTGGCTGCCTCAATTGACCGAGGCCAAAGTCACATCAACGCCTCTCGCGCTAAATTTCATCGCAAAAGGTACCGCGTACCTCATATTTGAGTTCTTAGATGACGGCGTATGATAACTCGAACTCCCAGGCCTTGAGTGTGTAACGGACCAAACATAATATTTCACCCGGCTGAAACGCGTTATCGGTACTATACAGCATTCTCTATTGCAAGGTATCTCGCATGTAGCTAACAAAGACCGTATGAGCACAAACAAGTTTAGCTGCCTCCATTCACCGACCTCAAAAGTCACATCAACGCCTCTCGCGCTAAAATTCATCCCGAAAGCTGCCGCGTATCTCACAATGGAATTCTGAGATGACGGCGTATGATAACTCGAACACCCAGCTTGTGTTACCATTTGCCGGCATGGGCAATCCGACTTGCCACCAGCAGGCCAACATAATTTGCTTTCATTTCTCTATGAAATACACAAGCTGCTTGTTTGTACATTTACTTTGGCCAATGCACGGGGCCTCCTGAGACTTGCGGTGTGCCCCGATGAAGCCCGCGGCTGTGGGGCGGATTGCTGAGGCCGCTGGCGCTTCGGGGATAAACATCACAGACAGCACCGAAATTCACCCAGCTTTCGTTACCATTTGCCCGCACGGGCATTCCGACTTGCGGTCTGCCGCACTGTCCATGCGGCATGCACCCGGAATGCCGGGTGCGGCATGCACCCGGAATGCCGGGTCCATTCCGGGTGCATGCCCGGAATGGATGCGATTCGCGTGGAGCCCGCAGGCGGTGCTGACGATTCCGCCGGTGCAAGCTTAGCTCTCACACCATCAGCACTGCTGCAACAAAGCACATCTCCCACCGCGTTGACACTACCCATCAATTGTCACACTTGCCACCCTTGCTACCGGCCTGTACGGATGCAGAGGGGCCCCGCCCTTTTTCCGGCTTCCTTGAAGCCGACACCCAACTTGTCAAGGTAAAATATGCAAGTATGCCACAACAAACCCGGTGCACCTGGTCCTTCCAGAGCTCCGGTTGGGCGTACTGAGGTGCCTGGTATTGTTCGAGGCCCTGTCTTTCGAACGCCACTTTCAACTTTTGCTGCTGCACATTTGTTGCAGATGCCCACTTGGGCTGCCGACAATATTTGTTGCGGTCCACTTGGCTATGTAGTAGCTGATGATGGTCAACCGTGTTCTTTGCCTTCATTCAGGGCCCTTCTGCGAACACCCCTGCTAATCGTCTTGATGCTTTACCGGTGTTACCAGAGATCCAGACAACCGATGAGGACCATCGTGCTGCTGCTGCTGCTGCTGCACGTGCTCTTGCTGTGGCAGCTGGGGCTGCTGCTGAGGCTGCGGTACCGTTTGTGCGTGTCCTTTTTTCTCATCCCTCGTTCCCTTACTCTCCTACTTCTTCCCGCCTGCTGCTGTCCCAATTCCGCAGCCCCAATTTGAAGCACATGATGGGCCTGGAGATGATGCCCCACGGCGTCGTGGGCTCCCCAGCCCTGCTCAACCCGCCCTCCGCTCGTGGCTCCTTCTGCAGCGGAGCCTCCTCCTCCTCCGTCCAGAGTGCCCCTTCGCGGCTGCTGCTGCTGCTGCTGCTGCTGCTGCAGACGCGCGCTTCCTCCCTGGGCCCCTCTCACCACTCCTGAACGCCTAAAAGCC